TTCATACTTAAATCATAATTTTAAAACTCATAAATTTAAAATGCAACTCTATTATGAAATTATATTTAAAAAACTCTAACAAATGTAACCTTAATTTTTTTTGGGATGGTCATGAGTCCAATTACAAGAAGCCCACATGAGAAATAAGCTCAAATATCGAAGCAATTGACAATTGTAACAAGCCCAGATATAGTTGCCCTGTCTGATACTAATAAAATAGGGTTCAGGCCCAGGAAACTCTAGTGTCTACCTCTTCACTTCAACTGCTAAATAGTGGGCCTCCGATCCAAAATAGTGGGCTTTCTATTCAAAAGTCTATTGACCTACCTAAAGTCATGGATCCACTATTTTAGTTTTGGACTATTTTTTTTGGGTCTCTCTCTCTCTCTCTATATATATCAGCAAGAGTTAGGGCGAGTTTGAAAAAGTTATTTTTTTATGAATTTTTTTTTTTTAGTGAGTTTTTAAAAATTATATCAAATCTATTTACTCTTTAAAAGTCTCTTATGTAGACAAATCTAAAAGGTTAAAAAAAATTTTATTGAAGACAAAAAAAAAATCAACGATTTTTTTTTCCTTTTTTTTTGGGGTCTTTCCTAGACTTTTCTTCAAATTTTTTAATTTTATTTTTCTGATCTACCTAGTTGAGAAGGATCAGAAAAGTGTAATTCTTTTTTTGAAATTAAAAAAAAAAAAAAAGTTCATGAAAGATTGAAAAAAGCCAACAAAAAAATTATTGAAAAAGCTAATCCCAAACGCCCACTTAGTGGGTATAAATAGGTGTGTTCAAACAAATCGGCGAACCTATAAACGATCAAATCTTATCTAAACAGTCGAGTTAGTCTGACTTTTTTTAGTTACGATTTTGGTTCTAATTTTAAAAATGATAATCGTTCAAATCGGTCTGGTTCTCAATTCTAAGACTTTGGTTATGATTCTAAATCGGATCGTAACACATATTGTTTATTATTATTGTTATTTTTTATATAAAAAATTTAAAATATAAAATGTTTCTTCTAAGATTTGAACACTAGCCATTATTGTGAAATAGATAAATTCTAACTAACTTAACCAAACTAATTATTAATTTATTTACTAACATGAAATATATATCATATTTGTTATTGCATAAAATTTATAGAACCGTTAACCAAACCAAACCGGCTTCTATGATTTGGTTCTAGTTCGGTTTCATAGGTTAACAGTTTGGTTACGATTTCAATTTTTCTGGAATCATAAAATATAGTTCAGGTCTTAGTTTACTCTAAAACTGGACCAATTCGATTCATGTACACCCCCAGGTATAAGAATAACAAAATGTATAAACCTCATCTCTATAGTAGTTGAATCTACAATTTCACTATTTGGACAATTGTCAGTGATTGTAAAACTATTGTATATAGAGTTGTTAAACGAACCAAGTTACTTGAACTTGACTTGTGTTTGATTCTTTAAAAACTCATTCAAAATCGTGAATACATTTTAAAACTCGTTAAATTATCAAGCCAACCTTGAATAACCTATTATTTGATTTGATAAGCATATATATGCATTATAAAATATCAAATTACTTGAGTTACATCGAATAAAAACTCGTTAGAGATCGACTTATGTAAATAAGTAAAATTTAAATACATTTTAAAACTCGTTTAGTTTTCAAGTCAAATTTAAAAAATTTAACACTTAACCTGACTTGATTTAACTCGTTTACAATCTTAATTATAGATTCTTTTAAATTCTCCCCCTATCTTAAAAAAAAAAAAAGAAGATGATTATTAATTTTACATTTTACATTTTACATATGGTATATGTATGAGAGGTTAGATTCATTTGATCTTTATATCACATGGGTCATATGTTATTTTGCATGTGATCTCTTATGCAACGTTTTTACGTTTCATGCCCTCAAAATTAGGAATAGTAACATAGTTTAGGGCAATTAGCCAACTAATGGCTGTAAAATTCACCATTCCGAGTTGTATTTTGACTTTCTTGATTCATTCATTTTATGCTCTGCATACTTGCTATGATCGGTTCTTAAAAGCACTTGTCATGTTAAAAAATATGATATATTACATTAAAATTTAAAGGGGTATAATTTCTATTCAAAACTAAGTTGAGTGAAATTTTAAAAGAATTTCATATTTTTTAAAGAATAAAATATAAATACATGGCATTAGAATTTAATCAAAAATTTTATTTGAACTCAATAAGTCTTATTTGTTTAAGAATATATCTGTTTGCACCACATTTTATTTTTCTATCGATTATGGCCTGATTAATTATGGCTAAGTTCACTTATGGTCTGTCGATTAAGACCATAGACTATTTTTAAAAATAACCTTGGCCACATTTGTTATTATTATTATTATTATCTCTATCAACATACATGCTAACGAGGTTTAATAGATGTGTTAAGGACATGACATGATAACATGTTAAATGGAGGGTCAGAAAGTTAGCAATTGTAGCAATTTGAAAGTAAGTTGCTGAGATCAAGGAGCCAAAATCAAATCAAGTACCAAATCTATAAAATGGTTTCTATCAAATATGAGATATGGTTGAGTGAAACAAAGATCAAGGAAGATCATGGATTATATGAAGATAGGATATGGTTGAGTAGAGCAAAGATCAAGGAAGATCATGGATTGATGGCTACAACATGAGGTGGCTAATAAAGTATAAAAAGAGGACTTGAAGAATGAAAAAGGAGATATCAAACAATCATCAACAACACTCGGAAAGAGTTTATCTAGGAGTAGGTTAACTTAGCATTTTTGGGAGTAGAACAGTGATAGCTTTCTCCAACCCCCCACTTCTCTTTTTTCCTTCTACTGATTGGTGTATTTTTCACTTTCTTTAGGCTTGTTCTTGTTCTTGTAATTAAAACAAGTGACAATTTGATTGAATAAATACATTTTCTGCTCAAAAGCTTCTTCATTTAATTACCTTCAAGGAAGTCCTTAATCTGTTTAAGGCGTAGCACTCAACCACAAAGCTTGATTTATATTTGTGTTTATTTAAAGATTGGTTTAAGTCTGTCGATCAAATCATTCTCAATTGGGTTTGAACTAAATTTTTACCAACAACACCTTATAACTATAAAAGAAAATGATATGTTTTCATACTTTTTAAGCCATAATTAAAAAAAGAAGAATTTATAATTAAATATCTAAAAATAATGTCATAACTAAAGAAGAAAATCGATTATAATTAAATAAGAAAATGACAAAACTACTGAGGTGTGTATAATAAAATTCTTCATAATAATAATTAAAAACAAACTATCAATAATCCAATCATTTATTATTGGACCATAGCCATTTCTATATGGCACCATAAAACTAAAACTACAAATCAATAATTCATCATTTATTATTTTTTAAATGTTGCATAAGTAAAAAAAACAAGTGACATAGTTTAACTCATAAACTAATCATGAAAATAGAAGTAATAGGCTTCAAGAGCCATTCAATAACCATTGAGAGCCATCACAATCTATATGAAGAAAAAGTAAGATAAATTGATAAAAAATGAAGAAAAAAAAGATACTTAATGTTCAACATTTTTTAAAACTCATATCGCAAAAGTGTTTAATTTGACACATTGTTATATATGAAATTAGTGTATATGAAAACTAATTTACATAAAATTTATATATATATAACTTGTACAAAATATTTGATAGTGACATTTTATAAAATTTAAATCACGATGATAAGTGTTTAATTTGACACATTATTATATATAATTTTTGTGTAAAAAAATTATGCAGTGTAACTCACTTTTTCTTTTCAAATACATAAAAAGACTGAGAGACAAGAGAGAATTAAATTAATCGTTATTTGGACTTATCTAAACTCATAGGACAATTAATTTCAACCCTTAGAGCATCTCCAATGGTGAATCAAATTTTTCATCAAATTTGAGTAAAAAAAAAGTCAATTTTCTCAATTTGATATGACTTCCTCCAACGGTGAGCATCAAAAGGGGGAGGGTCGACCGGTTGGTCGACTGGCCAGTCGACCGGTAAGGCCATTATTATTTTTTTTTTGTTTCCCTCCTTTTCTGTTCCCAATTCTTTTCCTATTTATTTTTTCCTCCATTACATATATTCATTTTGGTTTACCTCCAACAATGATTTGCTTCTAAAATCTCATATAAATACATTATCCATATGCCAGACAACTCCAGACAACTGATACGATCATATCTGAAACAAAACAGAGCATAATGAATACCTTCAAATCCATGATGTTGACTTCATTTTCATCCTCTTCTTCTTCCTCCTCCTCTAATGATGAGTCTGATGATGAATATATGGTTACACTTTTAGGGGCTTATGAGAAGAATAATACTAGTATGCTTCATAATCTTAAGTCAAGTGATAGCTCAAAAAAAATAGGTGGTTCTATTGTAGGCCATAAGTATATACGCAGAGATAGAAGGCAAGGTCATGAGAGATTGTTTGCAGATTATTTTGCTGCAAATCCAGTGTATTCACCTATAATATTGCGAAGACGTTTTCGAATGCGTCGTTCTTTGTATCTGTGAATTTTGAATGCAATCCAAGCACACAATTCATATTTTGTTCAAAAACAAGACGCAGCTCATGTTGTTGGATTATCTCTCCTACAAAAAATGACTTCAGCAATGAGAATATTGTCATTTGGTGTCGCAGCAGATACAATTGATGATTATATACGTATCGGGGAAAGCACTGCAATTCAAAGTTTGCAATAATTTTGTAATTCAGTGATTGAAATCTTTGGACCAGAATATCTGAGATCTCCAACGCCAACTGATATTGCTAGATTACTTGCTATTGGGAAGGTTCGGGGTTTCCGGGTATGTTGGGAAGTTTAGATTGCATGCATTGGGAGTGGAAAAATTGTCCAAAGGCATGGCAAGGTCAACACATAGGCCATCAAAAAAAGCCAACAATTATTCTTGAAGCAATAGCATCTTATGACTTATGGATTTGGCATGCATTTTTCGGAATGCCTAGCTCACACAATGACTTGAATGTGTGGGACAGATCGCCTTTGTTTTCTGATCTTGTTCAAGGACATAGTTACGATATGGGTTATTACCTTGCTGATGGTATATATCCTCAATGGGCAACACTGGTTCAAACAATTTCTTCTCCCCAAGGAGAAAAGAAACAACATTTTGCAATGATGCAAGAGTCTGCTAGGAAAGATGTAGAGCGGGCATTCGGAGTGCTTCAATCTCGATTCGCAATTATAGGTGGTGCTGTACGTTTTTGGGATCTGAAAATGCTTGCCAACATAATGAAGAGTTGCATTATATTACATAATATGATTGTCGAAGATGAGAGGGAGGAGCACCTTGATTTTGATTATGAAGTTTCATCAACCAACGCACCAGTGCAACTTTCCTCTACTCCTACGAATGACTTCTAATCATTTTTGTCTCGTCATTTAGGTATTAGAGATAAGGATGTATATCATGCCCTCGATAATGATTTAATAGAACATATGTGGCATCTTCAGGGTGAAAACTAAATTCACCACATCAATACATGTAATTTTGTTTATAGTTTTGGAATGGAAGGTTGTCTTGTTTTTAATCTTCATTACGATGCACTATATTAACCAAGTAGTTCAGAAGTTATGTGATGATGTGTTGTTGTGATTGAGAGGGTGATTTATGATCTGGAGTTGGGCCGAGATATCGACCTAGCAGGTTGAAAGCCCAGCAGTGCATTGGGCCGAGATGATCGACTGTTCACCTAGAGAAGGGCTGCCAGAACTTGGGTCGGGCAGAGTTCGGGCTGTGTGTGCCACCCCGGACCGGACAGAAACTGCTCGGCAAGGCAGTGCTCGGTCGGACCAGGATGCTCGGTCCGAGGATGGCCGAAGCCAGATAGGCCGAGTGACCGGCGCCCGGGAAGGCGCGGACATCCGAGGAAGTTGTCTGACCGGCAGAAAGGCCGACCCCAGGAGGCACCTCGGGCTAGGCTTTGCCGAGATGCCGCCTAGCCCGGTCCTCCTCAGTCTTGGCCAGTGGAGGCACCTCGGGCTAGGCTTTGCCGAGATGCCGCCTAGCCCGGTCCTCCTCAGTCTTGGCCAATGAAGTGCTAGGGTATGGAGCACGGCATGGCACAACAACGGATAGGGCAGCTCGGCTGCCGAGCTCCAGCTGTGATGACCATTCATTTATTCAGTGGATAAATGCATTCAACCTACATTCATGGCATACTACAGAGGTGGCATACGAATTCAATGGCTCAAATGAGTCAATGCCTCATTTTACACACACCACCATTCATTGAATTCATTCAACCAATTTAGTTGAATATTAATTCCCTTCACCACCTACCTCAATAATTCAACCAATTTAGTACCTTGTTCTCACTTTAATGAATTTTTAGTTTAATTCTCAATTTGATACCAATTTGTTGAAACCATTAGAGCTCCAAAAAGTGACTTTTTCACAAAATTTCAAATCTGATATCAGGTTTGATGAACCGTTTGAGATGGCCTTAAATTGGGTTAATCATTACCTTTCCCAATGATATGTGAGACATTTTCAATACATTTTTAAAAAGTCGCTTTATTATATAGGTGTCTAGCTTGCAATCTTTGAATAAAGCACTGTGGTTTGGTGACATAGTTTTTTTTAACAAAAAAAAAAAAAATATTAAAAAAATAAAATAGTTCAACATGTCATTAAAAAAAAGTAAGTCATACATATTAATTATTTGCATTTTTCGATAAATTTTCAATATATTAATTCTTTTTTTCAACTCATAAAAAGGACAAAATTTTTTGAAAAAAACTAGCTCCCAAATAAGACCTTAGGAAAATTCGTGCTACATATTGGTCATGTTTGGACCATTGGTACACATTATTGTAAGTTAAATATAATAGTAAACATAGAGTAGGTTTGGTAATTATTTTTTTAGTTTGTTTTTATCGTTAGTAAATTAAAAATATCAAATATTTTTTATTAGATAGACACTTGAAAAGTAATTATCAATTTTATTCTAAAAAAAAGTACGCTTCCACAAAAAAAATTAAATAAAAATTTGATTTTTTTGAGCTTTTTTTTTTATTCACCTTTTCAAATTTACTTTTCAGTAAATTTTAAAAAAAAATCGTACTTTTTAAGTCATTTTAGACTAGATAGAGTTGAAAATTAAAATTTTTAGACTAGTCTATCTAGTTGAAAATTAAAATTTTCTGACACAAATTTTAAAAAATTAAAATTTTATTTAATAGTTACCAAACAGAACCTTATATACATTTTATTATACAAATGATCTGCACCCACAACATCCATGCATGTCTAATAAAAGTTGTTTTGGGAAGTGACTATTTTAATTTTTCACAAAAAAATATACAAAATAATAGAGTGAAAAGTTGAGTTTTTAATAGTGATTTTTGATTTTTAGCTATTTTAAGCTGTTGTCAAAACCAGCTTTAATCTTGTGCCTTAAAAGAAAAGGGGTGTAAAGAAAAAAAAAAAATAGGAGTAAAAAATGGCCCATAAAACAATCTGAATCAGTTCAAACCAATGGTTTGGTCCAATTTTATGAGAGGATGATTTGAATCCGGTTCCAAAAATTAAGGTCTCTTGGTTCTAAAAATTAAGCATATAGATGTTTCACAAGGTACTTATTTTTCTTCTTATTGGCTTTGAATTTCAATTTCTTTCCAATATTGACAAAACTTTCATTCATCCTATTTACAAAATACTCTGTCTCTATAGAAAATATAAATGTTTAGGTTTTTCTATCCACTATTTATATAATTTTTGTGGGGACGTATTTTGTGAATGATAACACGTAGCGAAAGTGACACCGAAGTGTCAGTCGAGGTGCCACGTGACTTGGTTATGCGCCGAGATGATCTCGGCTAGGCTGAGGTTGTTTGTGGAGATACTAGAATCCAAGATAAGTAGATAATGGACAAGAGTTCTAGAACAGAGGAGGATCTCAGTCTGGATAAAGATATGGCTCAAGAAAAGTTTTATCTCTATCTAGATGAGGATCCAGGATGAGCATTAAGCCTGAGTCCATTAGAGTGAGGCTTCTAATGGAATTAGGTCACTATTGGTTATAAAAGTAAGGCACCCTCGTGGGTTTGAGGTAAGTTCTTTCTTGTGATTTTAAGTACAATTTGCTATCTTTAAGAGATATAGATTACTAACTTGATCGTCGGAGTGCCCTCGGATAGACGAACCATCGCTGGATTTTCATCTTCTTGTGCAGGTTATTGGGCTTAATCTATTCTACCAGTACTCTTCAACTGAGTTCCTCGTTTGGTTGTGTGGTCAAAAATCAACACCCACAATTTCTTCTCTCCAAGAAGCAAAGAAACAACATTTTGCAATGATGCAAGAGTCTGTCAGGAAAGATGTAGAGCGGGCATTCGGAGTGCTTCAATCTTGATTCGCAGTTATAGGTGGTGTTGTACGTTTTTGGGATCTGAAAATGCTTGCCAACATAATGAAGAGTTGCATTATATTACATAATATGGTTGTCGAAGATGAGAGGGAGGAGCACCTTGATTTCGATTATGAAGTTTCATCAACCAACGCACCAGTGCAACTTTCCTCTACTCCTACGAATGACTTCTAATCATTTTTGTCTCGTCATTTAGGTATTAGAGATAATGATGCATATCATGCCCCCGGTAATGATTTAATAGAACATATGTGGCATCTTCATGGTGAAAACTAAATTCACCACATCAATACATGTAATTTTGTTTATAGTTTTGGAATGGAAGGTTGTCTTGTTTTTAATCTTCATTACGATGCACTATATTAACCAAGTAGTTCAGAAGTTATGTGATGATGTGCTGTTGTGATGATCCAATCTTTAATATTCAGAATTGTTCTGTGTTCAATTCATGAGAATTACAAATGATAATAATCATGTCTTAATCAGTTACAAATGATAACACCACATAAATTTAATAATCATGTCTTAATTAGTTACAAATGATAATACCACATAAATTTATTCACAATTCATATTTACTGATGTGCCATATGATTTTATTCAGTATACGAATTTATTGATGTGGCATACAAATTTATTCAGTATATATATGTATTGGTGTCCAATTTATTTGTCTATATATTTATTGATGTTGGTTGGCTTATTATTGATATGTTGCCATTCATTTATTGATGTTGGTTGGCTTATTAGTGAGGATGTTGCCATTCATTTATTGCCTCAGTTGAAATGCATTCAACCTACAGAGGTGGCATACTACTTAATAATGTTGCCATTCATTTATTCAGTGGATAAATGCATTCAACCTACAGAGGTGGCATACGAATTCAATGGCTCAAATGAGTCAATGCCTCATTTTACACATACCACCATTCATTGAATTCATTCAACCAATTTAATTGAATATTAATTCCCTCCACCTCCTACCTTAATAATTCAACTAATTTAGTACCCTGTTCTCACTTTGATGAATATTTTGTTCAATTCTCAATTTGATACCAATTTGCTGAAACCATTGAAGCTCCAAAAAGTGACTTTTTCACTAAATTTCAAATCTGATATCAGATTTGATGAACCGTTGGAGATAACCTTAAATTGGGTTAAACATTACCTTTCCCAATGATACGTGAGACATTTTCAATACATTTTTAAAAAGTCGCTTTATTATATAGGTATATAGCTTGCAATCTTTGAATAAAGCACAGTGGTTTGGTGACATAGTTTTTTTTAACAAAAAAAAAAAAAATTTCTTAAAAAAATAAAATAGTCCAACATTTCATTAAAAAAAAAAAGTATGTCATACATATTAATTATTTGCATTTATCGATAAATTTTCAATATATTAATTTTTTTTCAACTCATAAATAGGACAAATTTTTTTGAAAAAAACTAGCTCCCAAATAAGACCTTAGGAAAATTCGTGCTACATATTGGTCATGTTTGGACCATTGGTACACATTATTGTAAGTTAAATATAACAGTAAACATAGAGTGGGTTTGGTAATTATTTTTTTAGTTTGTTTTATCGTTAGTAAATTAAAAATATCAAATTTTTTTTATTAGATAGACACTTGAAAAGTAATTATCAATTTTATTCTGAAAAAAAGTACGCTTCCACAAAAAAAATTAAATAAAAATTTGATTTTTTTGAGCTTTTTTTTTTATTCACCTTTTCAAATTTACTTTTCAGTAAATTTAAAAAAAATCGTACTTTTTAAGTCATTTTAGACTAGATAGAGTTGAAAATTAAAATTTTTAGACTAGTCTATCTAGTTGAAAATTAAAATTTTCTGACACAAATTTTAAAAAATTAAAATTTTATTTAATAGTTACCAAACAGAACCTTATATACATTTTATTATACAAATGATCTGCACCCACAACATCCATGCATGTCTAATAAAAGTTGTTTTGGGAAGTGAATATTTTAATTTTTCACAAAAAAAATATACAAAATAATAGAGTGAAAAGTTGAGTTTTTAATAGTGATTTTTGATTTTTAGCTATTTTAAGTTGTTGTCAAAACCAGCTTTAATCTTGTGCCTTAAAAGAAAAGGGGTGTAAAGAAAAAAAAAATTAGGAGTAAAAAATGGCCCATAAAACAATCTGAATCAGTTCAAACCCAATGGTTTGGTCCAATTTTATGAGAGGATGATTTGAATCCGGTTCCAAAAATTAAGGTCTCTTGGTTCTAAAAATTAAGCATATAGATGTTTCACAAGGTACTTATTTTTCTTCTTATTGGCTTTGAATTTCAATTTCTTTCCAATATTGACAAAACTTTCATTCATCCTATTTACAAAATACTCTGTCTCTATAGAAAATATAAATGTTTAGGTTTTTCTATCCACTATTTATATAATTTTTGTGGGGACGTATTTTGTGAATGATAGCACGTGGCTAAAGTGATACCGAAGTGTCAGCCGAGGTGCCACGTGACTTGGTTATGCGCCGAGATGATCTCGGCTAGGCTGAGGTTGTTTGTGGAGATACTAGAATCCAAGATAAGTAGATAATGGACAAGAGTTCTAGAACAAAGGAGGATCTCAGTCTGGATAAAGATAAGGCTCAAGAAAAATTTTATCTCTATCTAGATGAGGATCCAGGATGAGCATTAAGCCTGAGTCCACTAGTGTGAGGCTTCTAATGGAATTAGGTCACTGTTGGTTATAAAAGTAAGGCACCCTCGTGGGTTTGAGGTAAGTTCTTTCTTGTGATTTTAAGTACAATTTGCTATCTTTAAGAGATATAAATTACTAACTTGATCGTCGGAGTGCCCTCGGATAGACGAACCATCGCTGGATTTTCATCTTCTTGTGCAGGTTATTGGGCTTAATCTATTCTACCAGTACTCTTAAACTGAGTTCCTCGTTTGGTTGTGTGGTCAAAAATCAACGCCCACAATTTCTTCTCCCCAAGAAGCAAAGAAACAACATTTTGCAATGATGCAAGAGTCTGCCAGGAAAGATGTAGAGCGGGCATTCGGAGTGCTTCAATCTTGATTCGCAATTATAGGTTGTGCTGTACGTTTTTGGGATCTGAAAATGCTTGCCAACATAATGAAGAGTTGCATTATATTACATAATATGATTGCCGAAGATGAGAGGGAGGAGCACCTTGATTTCGATTATGAAGTTTCATCAACCAACGCACCAGTGCAACTTTCCTCTACTCCTACAAATGACTTCTAATCATTTTTGTCTCGTCATTTAGGTATTAGATATAATGATGCATATCATGCCCCCGGTAATGATTTAATAGAACATATGTGGCATCTTCATGGTGAAAACTAAATTTACCACATCAATACATGTAATTTTGTTTATAGTTTTGGAATGGAAGGTTGTCTTGTTTTTAATCTTCATTACGATGCACTATATTAACCAAGTAGTTCAGAAGTTATGTGATGATGTGCTGTTGTGATGATCCAATCTTTAATATTCAGAATTGTTCTGTGTTCAATTCATGAGAATTACAAATGATAATAATCATGTCTTAATCAGTTACAAATGATAACACCACATAAATTTAATAATCATGTCTGAAATTCTGTGTTCAATTTAGTATTGATGTGCTACAAATGATAATACCACATAAATTTATTCACATCTAATAATCATGTCTTAAATGATAATTTAATAATCATGTCTCAAATTTATTCAATTCAGTAATGATAATACCACAAATGATAGTACCACATAAATTTAATAATCATGTCTTAATCAGTTACAAATGATAATACCACATAAATTTATTCACAATTCATATTTACTGATGTGCCATATGATTTTATTCAGTATACGAATTTATTGATGTGGCATACAAATTTATTCAGTATATATATGTATTGGTGTCCAATTTATTTGTCTATATATTTATTGATGTTGGTTGGCTTATTACTGATATGTTGCCATTCATTTATTGATGTTGGTTGGCTTATTAGTGAGGATGTTGCCATTCATTTATTGCCTCAATTGAAATGCATTCAACCTACATTCATGGCATACTACAGAGGTGTCATACGAAATCAATGGCTCAAATGAGTCTGCCTCATTTTACACATACCACCATTCATTGAATTCATTCAACCAATTTAATTGAATATTAATTCCCTCCACCTCCTACCTTAATAATTCAACTAATTTAGTACCCTGTTCTCACTTTGATGAATTTTTTGTTCAATTCTTAATTTGATACCAATTTGCTGAAACCATTGAAGCTCCAAAAAGTGACTTTTTCACTAAATTTCAAATCTAATATCACCGTTGGAGATGGCCTTAAATTGGGTTAAACATTACCTTTCCCAATGATACGTGAGACATTTTCAATACATTTTTAAAAAGTCGCTTTATTATATAGGTACATACCTTGCAGTCTTTGAATAAAGCACAGTGGTTTGGTGACATAGTTTTTTTTAACAAAAAAAAAAAAAATTTCTTAAAAAAATAAAATAGTCCAACATTTCATTAAAAAAAAAAGTAAGTCATACATATTAATTATTTGCATTTATCGATAAATTTTCAATATATTAATTTTTTTTCAACTCATAAAAAGGACAAAATTTTTTGAAAAAAACTTGCTCCCAAATAAGACTTTAGGAAAATTCGTGCTACATATTGGTCATGTTTGGACCATTGGTACACATTATTGTAAGTTAAATATAACAGTAAACATAGAGTGGGTTTGGTAATTACTTTTTTAGTTTGTTTTATCGTTAGTAAATTAAAAATATCAATTTTTTTTTATTAGATAGACACTTGAAAAGTAATTATCAATTTTATTCTGAAAAAAAGTACGCTTAACCACAAAAAAAATTAATAAAAATTTGATTTTTTTTGAGCTTTTTTTTTTATTCACCTTTTCAAATTTACTTTTCAGTAAATTTAAAAAAAAAATCGTACTTTTTAAGTCATTTTAGACTAGATAGAGTTGGAAATTAAAATTTTTAGACTAGTCTATCTAGTTGAAAATTAAAATTTTCTGACACAAATATTAAAAAATTAAAATTTTATTTAATAGTTACCAAACAGAACCTTATATACATTTTATTATACAAATGATCTGCACCCACAACATCCATGCATGTCTAATAAAAGTTGTTTTGGGAAGTGACTGTTTTAATTTTTCACAAAAAAATATACAAAATAATAGAGTGAAAAGTTAAGTTTTTAATAGTGATTTTTGATTTTTAGCTATTTTAAGTTGTTGTCAAAACCAGCTTTAATCTTGTACCTTAAAAGAAAAGGGGTGTAAAGAAAAAAAAAAAATAGGAGTAAAAAATGGCCCATAAAACAATCTGAATTAGTTCAAACCCAATGGTTTGGTCCAATTTTATGAGAGGATGATTTGAATCTGGTTCCAAAAATTAAGGTCTCTTGGTTCTAAAAATTAAGCATATAGATGCTTCACAAGGTACTTATTTTTCTTCTTATTGGCTTTGAATTTCAATTTCTTTCCAATATTGACAAAACTTTCATTCATCCTATTTACAAAATACTCTGTCTCTATAGAAAATATAAATGTTTAGGTTTTTCTATCCACTATTTATATAATTTTTATGGGGACGTATTTTGTGAATGATAGCACGTGGCTAAAGTGACACCGAAGTGCCAGCCGAGGTGCCACGTGACTTGGTCATGCCACTACAAGAAAAGCTGGCTATAACAACGTTTCTTGGACAAACGTTGTGAAAGACGCGTTAAACACACGCGTTAAATTAAAATACACCCGTTAAACACGCGTTTCACTTTGTAACAGTGCTCCGTCTCCCCATTTCTCTTTCCGTCTCTATCATTCTCTCTCTATCGTTTGCTCTCTCCGTCCTAGATCTAGGGTTTCCTCTGTCTCTCTCATGCTTCTTGAGAGATTCACCAGTTCGATTACGATTACTTGGTCAGATTTAATTCTAAATCCATCGATTCTGGAATCGATTTGGTTGAAATTTCCAGACGATTTTTTGTTTTTCTTGATTCTGATTCTGATTCTGATGATTTTGCAGAGGAAGATGGACCGGTTGAGTTGCACGAACGCGAGGTTACGAGACTGAGGAGTGAAAAAGGATTGAGATTATGGATCGGGATCGAGACAGGGATCGAAACCGTGACCAGTCGAGTCGAAGCAAGAGGAGGAGACGAGATCATGAATACTGGGTTTCTGGTAATCCTCCTAAGGTCTGGTCCTCCCGTCGCTACCGCCCCTCAGGTCTCGTCCTCTCTCTCTCTCTTTCTCTCTCTCCCTCTATTGTTCCATCAGATCTGGTCTCAAACAACTCACTATCTTCCTCGCTCTTCATACTGGATTTCGAAATTTCTTATTCAATAACATATGTTTCAGGTATGAGATTTCTTATTCAATGGCCTCACAGGATTGTTGTGCCTATAGGTGGTATAGCTGTAGATACAAGGTAATCACACACACATATATATATTTTAATTAAGAAGGGTTCTTAGTTGTACTTGGCTAATGATTTGCACCATAAGAACAAGATTTATTTGCATTGTTTATGGTATATCGTGATTGACACACTTTTTTCATCGTCAGGTTCAAGTATTTTTTTCATTTTTAGATGTTTTGTTCATCACATGAATTGATAGTATAACACTTTTTCTTTTTCTTTTTTCTTTTTTCTTGCTTTATTTTATTTTATATGGCAAGTTGGAGTTAATACTTCTTTGTGCCTTTTATGCAGTGAACTAGAGCTTAGACCACAGGGAAAGCTTACGGTGACAGTAGTGAAGGCAAATGATCTTAAGAACATGGAAATGATTGGAAAATCTTATCCTTATGTTGTTGTGTACATTCGACCATTGTTCAAGGTTAAAACAAAGGTCATTGACAATGACCTGAACCCCATTTGGAATCAAACATTTGAGCTGATTGCAGAAGACAAGGAGACACAGTCTCTTATTCTTGATGTTTTGATCCACATGCCTTTAGGTCTCTTTTGACTATGCTATTTTGTGAAATTACTGGGATGGTGCTTTACTTGTTGACCATTCTTGGAAAGTTAATTTGTGTACATACTGAGCCTCTATGCAATTATTCTCGTAATAATCTCTTATGAAAAAGCTTGAACCTAGGGGATGTGGGTGGAGGCCATTGCACCGGGGTAATTGCATAAAGGGTGGGAAATTATGAGAATAATTGACAAATATTGGGAATAATTGAATAAAGAGGAGAAAATGCACAACAGTGTAAAGGGCAGACTTATGGCATGTTTCCCTCTAGTTGTTCCAAGTTTACTGATCTGTTGACTCAGGTTAGGCCAGACCTGTCACATGACCGGATAAGTGGGGCAGACTGGTTAAAAAAAATGGATGATCACGTTTGATAAATCTGATGCCAGTGATGATATAGTTCTAGATTAGTTTTCTTTCCACTAGTGTATTAAAATAATTAGGTATCTTTTTGTCGTGATGTGATACATATTCAGGTCCGATGGGTTGGATTACCCTTCTCCATCACCATCCTGAACCCAATTGGGTTCTCGAATTCCACTCTCTAACCTGCCCCTGCGCTATTAAAAAACACTGGGTCAGTGTTTGTGCTATCCCTATCCCTACCCCTTACCTAGCTTATGTCCGAAGCTTTTCCCTCACCTTTTCCTTTTCCTATTAAAATTTAGCTAAATATAAGCTAGGTCCTTTTATGAAATATAAGCTAAATATAAGCATTACCCTCACAGATTGTCTGTAGCAGGAACGGCTTCAACTTCATCACCAGTTCTCCCTCCGGCATCCATGTATAGTTTTCCTCTGCTTTTCTCTGGTCTCCTCAACTGTCTTCTCCTCTGCTCTCCTCACTGGTTCAATTGATTTCACACAGGCAAAGCGTTGATGTCGATTAAGGCGTCGTTTAGCAACATAGCAACTGTGTTGCTGGACTGGGATGATGTTCACAACGATGATTTCTTTGCTAATTGGAGACCTGAAGAATCTACAATCCATGTATGCTTTCTTTGCTAATCCTGTTGATTTGGTGTTCTTGCTCATTGTAACCAAGTTTACATAATACTAACTTTAGATGTTGTTGTTGAAATATTTTCAGGGATTTTCAAGGGAACAAATTAACTGGTCAAATTCCTGATGAGATAGGCAACTGTGTTTCTCTGATGCTGGTGTAAAATTTCATCTTCTTTCTTCATTGCAATTTTATTTACATATATGTGGATGTATTAATATCTTCTTCTGTAACTACCGCTGCAACCCCTTCTTTTGAAATGGAGAGTTTCTATTTGCTTTGACTGTGTGCACATAAATTTCACAATCCTTTCATACAGGTTTTCGATGAAGATGTTGGGCAAGACAAACGATTGGGCATAGCAAAATTAAAGCTGATTGAGCTGGAAGCTAAAACTCCAAAAGAGGTTGAAGTGAGACTCTTTCCATCACTTGATATGCTTAAAATAAAAGATAAGAAGGATAGAGGAACTCTTACTGTTAAGGTACACATTTCAATTTATGTTCTTAGATCTCTTCTTCATTCTTGAATATTCTTTCATTTGTAATCAACCTATTTTACATGGACTCGGATACAGAGGTGTGAGTGCATGTTTGTAGGTCGGACTTATCAAATTTCAAATTTATACATATTCGGACTGGCAAAAAAGTGTCGTATTTTTAATATTTTTAAACTACTATATAAGATAAAATAGCGTTATAAGTAACATACAATGTCAAAAATAATTTCTCATTTTTGTAACAATTATACAACAATATATATATAATACAAATATGTAAGACATGTCTGATGGAAAATATCAGACACGTATTCCATACCTTGTCCAAGTGTCGACACGGAAATTTAATTTTATTTTAAGAGTCCATGTAACATAGTAATCAACTGCCATGGTTTCCTGCATCTCTGTGGCTTTACAACCACGTGTCTTAATGGTGATTTTCTTAGATGCTGAAATTTGTATTTAGTGTTTCCTAGCATTAATTCTCTCCGTCGATAATATTTATTTAGCGTCTGGTTTGGTGTTTGTTAGGAAAAGAATGCTATTATTTGTTTATTTATTAGGAAAATAGTGAAATTTTCAGGTGTTGTATCATCAATTTAATACAGGAGCAATTGGCCGCCTTAGAAGCTGAAAAGATGATCCTAGAAGAGAGAAAGAAACTGAAAGCAGCAGGAGATGATCCTAGAAGAGAGAAAGAAACTGAAAGCAGCAGGAGATGATCCTAGAAGAGAGAAAGAAACTGAAAGCAGCAGGAGATGATCCTAGAAGAGAGAAAGAAACTGAAAGCAGCAGGAGATGATCCTAGAAGAGAGAAAGAAACTGAAAGCAGCAGGAGATGATCCTAGAAGAGAGAAAGAAACTGAAAGCAGCAGGAGATGATCCTAGAAGAGAGAAAGAAACTGAAAGCAGCAGGAGATGATCCTAGAAGAGAGAAAGAAACTGAAAGCAGCAGGAGATGATCCTAGAAGAGAGAAAGAAACTGAAAGCAGCAGGAGATGATCCTAGAAGAGAGAAAGAAACTGAAAGCAGCAGGAGATGATCCTAGAAGAGAGAAAGAAACTGAAAGCAGCAGGAGATGATCCTAGAAGAGAGAAAGAAACTGAAAGCAGCAGGAGATGATCCTAGAAGAGAGAAAGAAACTGAAAGCAGCAGGAGATGATCCTAGAAGAGAGAAAGAAACTGAAAGCAGCAGGAGATGATCCTAGAAGAGAGAAAGAAACTGAAAGCAGCAGGAGATGATCCTAGAAGAGAGAAAGAAACTGAAAGCAGCAGGAGATGATCCTAGAAGAGAGAAAGAAACTGAAAGCAGCAGGAGATGATCCTAGAAGAGAGAAAGAAACTGAAAGCAGCAGGAGATGATCCTAGAAGAGAGAAAGAAACTGAAAGCAGCAGGAGATGATCCTAGAAGAGAGAAAGAAACTGAAAGCAGCAGGAGATGATCCTAGAAGAGAGAAAGAAACTGAAAGCAGCAGGAGATGATCCTAGAAGAGAGAAAGAAACTGAAAGCAGCAGGAGATGATCCTAGAAGAGAGAAAGAAACTGAAAGCAGCAGGAGATGATCCTAGAAGAGAGAAAGAAACTCAAAGCAGCAGGAGTTATAGGAATTGGATGATTCAGGTATATAATCATCATTTTGGTGAAGATGATTGATGACTTGATGAAGCTGAAGAGAGCTGTGGATGAAGTTATTTTCAGAGAATTTGGAGAGCACACTGAATATTGTTATTTTTTTGATTTTGTATTGTCATATTGTATTTAAAGGGGTTTTATTTATTTATTTATTTTATGGGAAATTGAAAAATGAATGCTCATTTACATTATGGTACATATTTTGAGAATGGTGATGGATGATGTAGGTTTGGTTTGAACAAAAGTAAAAAGATCATTAATTATGATTTTTCAATTTTTTTTCAAAAAAATGAAAGAAATGGTGGCGTTTTTCTTAAAAACGTCGCGAAATGTTGTCATTATGACGTCAGAGATAACTCCTTTAACGTGTGTAGTTAACGGCTGTAAAGAATTAGCGGCGTTTTAGAAAACGTCGTCTAAAGTCTTTAGTGGCGTTTTTCAAACGTCACAAAGATACAACGACGGCCGCATCGTCGACGAATTTTATAAACGTCGTTTTATCTTTTTGCGGCGTTTTTCTAGCCTATAAACGCCGCTAATTCCCCATTTTCTTGCAGTGTGCGCCGAGATAATCTCGGCTAGGCTGAGGTTATTTGTGGAGATACTGAAATTCGAGATAAGTAGATAATGGACAAGAGTTCTAGAACAGAGGAGGATCTTAGTTTGGATAAAGATAAGCCTCAAGAAGAGTTTTATCTCTATCTAGATGAGGGTCCAGGATGAGCATTAAGCCTGAGTTCACTAGAGTGAGGCTTGTAATGGAATTAGGTCACTGCCGGTTATAAAAGTAAGGTACCCTCGTGGGTCTGAGGTAAGTTCTTTCTTGTGATTTTAAGTACAATTTGCTATCTTTAAGAGATATAGATTATTGACTTGATCGTCGGAGTGCCCTCGGATAGACGAACCATCGCTGGATTTTCATCTTCTTGTGCAGGTTATTGGGCATAATCTATTCTACCGGTGCTCTTCAACTGAGTTCCTCGTTTAGTTGTGTGGTCAAAAATCAACACCCACAATTTTTACACATCTTCTATTATTAAAAAATACAATTTATAGAAATTAATATATATTATGATTTGTTTTTTTTTTTTGTCTTTATATATTTTATGAAAATTGGTTTTGAGATTTGAAGTATGTTTATGAAAAATTAGAAATACTTGTATTGGTAGAATTAACTTTTACTGAATTAGATTGTTGAAGTACAATGATGAATTTTTTCTTGTGGTTTGGTTCTAGTTCGATTTCAAAAGTTTTAAGATTGGATTAATTTCTAAATTTTTGAAATCATAAGGATAAATTTGGTTCTTGGTTTACCTTATAATTGAATTAAACTGGTCCATGAGCAACCTAGTATAGTTGGAAACACTACTATTTGTATTCACTCATTCAAAAATAAAGAAGTTCTTCAAATTGGTGTATAATCATAAATTTTTCCATGTGTACAGATTTTCTATATAAAAATTCTGAATGGGATGCTTTTTCTTATGAGTAATAATCTAAACACATAATTCAAATATATTCCCTCTACAACTTTCTAATAATTAATTATTTTTTAAATTATTTTCAACGGATTTTTTCTTATTAGCTTTTGCATTAAATATTCTAACATAAACTCTTAAATAAAAAGCAATAATTTTGTGTACCAAAAGTTATTTACGATCTCACTACTCATATTTACTAATGAATTGATGACACACATCAAATAATAAATAAAATATTGCATGTATCGATTAGTATACTAACTAGTGTATCAACATTAGTTATGACCTTATTATTGACTCCACTCATTATACAAATTATAAATATAAAAAATATCATAAATTATGTCATATTATCAATTGATATATTAATTAGTACACTGATTAATATATATAGTATTACTCTAAACAAAATGTGTTAAATAAAAAGGTGTTAATAATTCGTAAATTGCACCAAAATGTAACAAAGTCATGGCCCAGTTAAACTTTTCGTTGTAACTTACAATGTCTGAAAAAAAAATAATTAATAAATAAAAAATAAAAATAAAAATAAAATCTTGGCTTCCTAATTTGATATACTAAAGTATCACATCAAAACTAAGGTTGAAAACGAATAAATCGAGTCAAGCTAAATAGTAAGTTATTTAGAGATTGTTTGGAATAAATTATATAAGTGTATTTTTTAATTTTTTTGATAAAAAAATAGAAGAAAAAAATATGATTGTTTGAAATAACTTTTTGATTTTTTACGAAAAAAATATGTATTAAAATATTGTATAAAATAACAAAATTACTAATATTACTCCTAATATCTCTAAATGCGTACTGACAGTAATTGTATAGGAAGCCAGGACAATGGGCAGCATACTTTAGAAGATGTACAGGAGAAGCTTGCCTCTAGTCCGAGATCAGACTGAACGGTGCTGTTGGGCCTGTGGAGGCCCACCACAGGTCCCATTTTGATAATCGGAACCGTGTAATGTGTAGAACTCGTCGAGTATTATATGTTTGTAAAATATAGCATTGATCGGATATCGATACCTATCTCATCGGATTAGTTTTTCGTCAACCGTTAATTTATTTACTGTCTATTTTTTTATACAAAACTGATTTGATCATATAGTTATCGATATCCGATCAATATGATTTGTTACAGGCATATAGTACTCGACGAGTTTTACATATTCAACAATTCAGATTATCAAAATGGGACCCGTGATGGCCTCCCACAGGCCGAATAGCTCTATCTTTTGTAAATTTTTTGTGCATCTACCTGTGTTATTTGTACCATCACTTCAGACTGTACCGTCACTATGTTATAGAAAGTTGGCTTGTATATTTTTTTTTGTGTAAATTTATTTTTTTTATATATTTTTTTTTATAAATAATATTAACCTTTTGACTTTTTAAATTATTCTTAATTTTTTATCTTTTATAGAACCTGCCAAACCAGAAGACCATAATGCCTGACAGTGATTGGCCAATATGTAACCGCATACATTATGAATATTAATTATAAAAAACGTCATATGAGCCAAGCAATTTTGTTTTTCATTTTTAAAAGTTGAAAGTTCTAATGGCCTATTTAGTAGAGTTGTGGGAAAGTGATTATAACTTATAGCCAAACAGCTTATAATTTATAGCTGTGAACATAAGTTTATTTTTGATTTATAAATTAAGCTTCTCCTTCCCCACTTAAAGAATAAATTGATTTTTGACTTATAAAAAGTTATAAGCTGTATTGTTAAACTGAACCAAACACATCAAAATAACTTAAATTAAGCTAAAAGTTGAAATAAACTAAAAATAAGACCTACCAAACAGTGTCAATATATAATAATATATCTGCAAAACCAAGTCATGACCAAGTTGTTGGCTTTTTAATAATATTATTATTGGTACTGCCCTCAACTAACTCCCCCTTGTTCAGATCTTCTTGCAACAATCTTTTTTCAACAATGCTAGAGGGTCACAATTTTTTTATATATGTTCAGTCCAATGAACATGTGCAGATTCTAATCTAATAAATAAATAAATAAATAAATATTTTTTTTTAAAATGCAATCTTAGGCCCCGTTTGTTTTGGGTTATAACAAGGGGATTAGGATTTCTAGTACCTTGGGATTAGTATATGGGGTGTTTGTTTTGAGAGATAGCCTTGGGACTATTAATACCTTGGGACTAACTAATACCTTGGTATTACTAATACCTTGTTTGTTTTGAGAGATAGGGAGGGTACTACTAATACCTTGGTATTACTAATATTCTCTCTGTCTGGTTTTGATTTTCAAAATTTATTTTTTTAAAATTTTTATATTTTTGTTTTCTGTATATTTTTATTTTTATTGAAATTTTTTTAATATTTTAAGTATTTTTTTTAATTTTTAAAAGTATAATATTTATAATTTTTTACTAAATATCAAAAATACAAAAAAAATAATTAAAATTTAATACATTTTTCATATTTTTGTGTATTTATTAATTTTTTAAAATATTTTACTTTTTAAATACATCTAAACAAAGTGTATCTAAAAAATTAAATTGTTTTAAAATATTCACTAAAAAACTTAATTTTCAAAAAATTAAAACCAAACACATTAATTGACTCTTACAAAAATATAATCTAAGATTCTTTTATTCGTCTCAAATTACTTTTTATCCTACGTATTATGAGTTTTGTACCACACAATCAGATGAGAAAATGTAAGACGTGGGATAGAATTTGACACATAATCCTTTATTCTCAAATCTTCTCGTCTCATTTGTCTCATGCACCCCAAGATCATGTCTCAAGATTCATTTGTTTTCAAATTTTCATATTATCTAATAATTGTAGATATATTAGGATTATATTTCATCTCAAGAACTAAGGGGTAATTTGAAAATTTGGTAAAAAGTTAGATTTTTGGCTTTTTATTAAGTTTTTCCATAAAAGTCACAAAAAAAACCTCCAAAAAAGTCAATTTTTTTTCTAAAAAAGTCATTAAAAAAGTCAAAAATTAAAATTTTAATTTTTTACTAACTTCTCACAACACCCCTAAGTGAGAGATTTGGGAGCTAATATTCTAATAAATTTGGTCAAACAAGAAACCTTTTAGAAAGACTGACAAGCAAATCTCTAATCTCTTGAACACCTTCCACATGGATAACTTGGAGAAGAAGGATGGGGCTTGAAAAGTCTGACAAGCAACCAATGTCGTAGCAAAACTAATCTTATATTGCCAAGGAAGATTCAGGGATGGTTTGAAATGATCTAAATAAATATATTTTTTGTCTTTTTATAAAAAGATGTGCAAAAAAATAGAAAAGTGATGTGATAGAAAAAAGATAAAAAAATGAATTATTTTGGTGTTGCCAAACTTGGCCTCAATATTGGTTCAATTTTGTTTACCAATTCAACATATTTATTAGTATAAATTATCTATTTTGAAGCTTCAATTGCATTCACATGGGCAAGCTTTTGCTTCGTTTTAATTGTTTTTAAAATTTAAAATTATTTTTGAGTTTTTATTTTTTATAATTTTTATTTTTATTTTTAATTTTGCTTCGTTTTAATTGTTTTTAAAATTTAAAATTATTTTTGAGTTTTTATTTTATTTTTTATAATTTTTATTTTTATTTTTAATAATATTCTTCATATTTTAATTAAATTATTTTTTTTAAATATACACCTAATCTATATGTATTTTTTAAAAAATAAAATATATA